GGGATGGTCTAGACAGTATTTGGTCCTGCCATGCGGGCAGGGGACTGGACTCGATGACCTCTCGAGGTCCCTTCCAGTCCTATAATCTATGATTCTATGAAATGCTTATAAAACAGGCTAATCCCAGTAGTGCTCAGACCCATATTGGCTGACTCCAGCATGGTCAGGAATTAGCAATGAACCCTTGAGGAGTTCACTTTTTATACCCTTTAACAAACAAGTGATGCCATTGCCAATTACTGATTGCAGCTAAAAACCAAATGGAGACAGTTCACCCTTATTTCCAGTCTTAACCCAGACAAGATATACCACCTCTTTTCTTCCCTAGGCCTTTTCTTCTTATCTTGTTCCCTCCTTCCTGCTGACCAACAGCTTTTTAGTTGCACCTGTGTTCACATGGGACATAACACTGGTAGGTGGGGTGGGAAGGTCCATGTTGGCTCCTTTTAAGAGAAATTCTTTTTCTCTTATTGCCTGTAGTCATCCCTATCAGTCAGAGGCCTTCCTTTTAGAAACTTCCCCTTATTTCATTAGTTATTCTTTGAACCAGACATCCTGCCTACTTTATTCCATTTCGCCTTATAACTCATTATTTTTAAGACCTTCCTTCTACATGCTATTGAGGTCCGTTTTTACGACACCTATGTATTTCCTTAATGAATAAGCTAACTTTCCTTCTTTCATTTAATACTTATTCTACACCAGGTAAGGATTGGGCAGAGTTGCAACCCCAGTGCCCAGGGGAGTGTAGAACTGCTACTGGGATGCTCCCATGGAAGCATACCGCTCCTGTGGGAGAGCAATGTCCCAGCTCTGCACCCCACTCCCATATGTGTGAGGGGGAGTAGATTGCATCCCTTAAGAAGTGTGCCAATTTGTATTACTAGGGGAGTGCTGGGAATATTGGCTCAGAATCCACAAAGGTATTTAGACTCATAACTTCTATTGAAAGTCCTGGTCTTTGTGAATCTGGGCCATTCAACCTCTTTGAGCACACACCCTGTGCCCGCCCCCCCTCGCGCAATTCATCATCCTCAATGCAAGGGCTTTGCCAAACAGGCAGGGGAATTAGGGGAGATTCTGAAATGGGTCAAGTATCAACTGGATTGGGCTAGTTTATGATCTCCTCCTTCTGATAGAAAAGGCCTTTACACTATTAAGCATTAAACTCTGCAATCGGTGCCCATATTTTCTGGGGAAAGGAGCATCACAAGCAACAGTTAATGAAGTTTCAAATAGTCACCTCAAGATGACATAGAATTTTATGCTGTAGGATTCAGCAGGAGTTTGATGGCAAGAGGGTTGGTTTAAATCAGGCTACAGAATTGAGTACACAATGCTTTTGTTCTCTCCAGGCAGTGCATGTCACTGCTAAGAAATGGGAGTTTTTCTAAATATGGCCTCACTGGGCATGAAATAATGTTTCCCGGGTGGTCTGAGTATCTAGGTGCTTGTATGACCTTAGTGTCAGAGTGGTTTTTTTGGTCTTACCTCATCCCTTCTAGGTTCCACAGGGTCTGTGCTTGTATAATCAGAAATACGCTACTACTTCTTTTTAACTTTTGTTTGCCATTAAAGTAAAAAGGCAATGGGTTGTATTGGGGCCTAATTTAGACAGAATAACAAAACTTGGTTAAATAAGCTCAAATATTAGCATGGTGTAACTCCATTGACTTAATCAAAGTTACCCCAAAGATTAATTTAGCCCTTACTTGCTTCCTGCCATGCCATTTCTTTCTGGTGATCTTTAAAAGGACCGATGGTTAATGTTACATAACAGGCTCTCTCAGAACACACACAAAGCATTGCCCCCTCTTACTGGAGTATAAACAGGTCAAAAATCAATGTTTTCTCCCTTCCAAGGTACAAACAAAGCCCTACTCTTTGCTAGCTGTGAGCACAGAATCCATTTTGTTGAATCTAGGCTTTTCCTCTTAAGTTGCCCACTCCTTCCTTTCCTCAGCCTCCTGTCAGCTGTGCCCCTGGAGTTTACTGAATCCCAGTTACGACTGCTCTACAGCCACGTAACCCCTCCAAGCTGGTTCCCTGCCTCTGCAGACTTGACAGGAAGAACAAGTTTGCAGAACTTGGCCTTACCGGGCAACCACGTTTAGGGATCCAGACAAGTAGCATCCTGGGTCTCAGTAATCCCTGACAGTATATAGAACATCACATCTTTGGTCTCATCTGTGGAACCTTTTGCCAAGCCCCAGCATGATCATGGGCGTCCTAGCTGAGCCCAGTCTGACCCTCTCTCCCTGCTGCTATTGACATGGAAAAAGGGACTTCCCCATCCATATATAACAACATGCCACAAAACATGTCTTTATGTGCTGGATCACATTCTGGTCTGGATTTTAAAGAGATACCTACAGAAATTGGGGGTGGGGGGAGAGGGAGGGAGAGACTTGCCATGAGAGTAAAGCATTTATGAATAGGATCCTTTATTTGTAATGGTTCCTATTGTGAATACATTTCAGTTTACACGAATGAAAGGAAAGAGAAGCTCTAGCAGTGGGAAATGGTCCTGACTCTGTTGTGTAGAGCATTAACAAAGAACGTGGTTAATGGAGGCTAATTACTAATGAAATCTACTCAAAGGCTCAAGTGTGAAGGAACTGAAATGCTCTTTGAATCCTTTAAAAAGATCAGGCAAGGATTAAATTAAGCTTTTAGGCTGAAATCCTCATCAACCATGCACATCTTGAGTAAACAAGCTTTGGGGATTGAAGTGCATAGTATCCTCTCACCCAGCCCACTGAACTCGGGTGCAGAAGCAGTGGCCACTGCTATGGTGTGTGAGTTGTGGTAGCAGCTGTAACACACTGTGACACTCCTCCTTACCTATTTGGCTTTTCCCTGGATCACTGCTCAGGGACTTGCACTGGTTATTGAATGGTTCTATTTATCTCCTCCATAGTCTGCCCCTACACCCCTTTCCATGCATTAAAGAAGATAACGATGAATTTTTAATTTGTATTGTAGTAGCAGCCTAGCGATTTTAGTCACACATCGTGGCCCCACTGTGCTAGGCATTGTACAAACACAGACTAAAAAGACAGTCCCTGCTTCTAAGAGCTGATAGACTAAGAGTTTGTCTACAGGGGAAAGTTTTTTCCAATAAGGGTTAAACATAGCTACTGAATGAATCAAAAAAAGAACTTTGATGTGTAGGTGCAAGGCAGTTTGTGCCGAGAAAACTAAAGATACACTGAAAAATCTTTGCCGTGTAGACAAGCCCTTAAGTATAAGATGAGACAACAGATAAGTACAACAGACAGACAAAAAACACAAGGTAACAGTGAGATGATTATGAACCATATGACCAACACACCTGCTACCCAACCATTGTTGAGTTTCATTGGGAGTCACTCCAAATGACAGTGGGGGAAAGACGTATTGTATAGAATCAGTGTTCATTTAAGCAGTGATTAAATTACTCTCTCCCTGATCTTGCGGTCCATACTCAGGCAAAACTCCCATTGCCTTCAATAGAGAGAGTTGCATGAATCAAGAGTGTAGGATCCATTGATCTTAATAGGAGCTCAGCACTTATTAAAATCAAGAGGTGCCTAAATGTGGCTTTTAGAAGTCTAACTTGCTGCTGCTGCTTCTTTTTTTTTAAATATTGGCCTTAATCCATTTCCCTCCCCCGCACCAAAAAAGGAGAAAAATCAATCCAAATAAATAAGAAAATATTGATAAAATGAGAAGTTTTTAAAAATTAAAGCATTAAAAGTATAAAGAACAACACTTGTTTACAATTTAATTTGGAACTGAGACTAAGTTGAGTTAATGTTCAAGGACATTTTTCTTTTTGTTTGTGCAAGGTGGGTGTACTGTGCCAGGTGCAGCCCAAGTGAGAAACCAGTATTTAGACAGTAAATAGTGTGGCGGTAAATGTTTTGCTTCAAAGCCTCTCCTTGAGCAAGCTTAATTTATGGGGTCCTGAGGAACTGTTGGACATTTACCACTGTCATTTTTGTTGAAGCTGTTAAAACTGTTGATGACTACAGAACTGATCCAGTTCCTAGTACAGTCAGTGGCAGTCTTTCCATTGACTTCAGTGACAACTGATTTTGAATTATATTTAGTAGTGCAATGCATTCAGTTTCCAGAGGAAAATGCTTAAAACCAAACACTATTTGAGCTATTTGGGTTGACTCAGTATTTGTTTGTTTTTGGTGGGTTTTTAATACTCCAGGTAACCAGGTATAAGGTCAAAATTATTAATAATAATAAAAAATTAATGACACCTGGTCTTTCTGAGGTATTCCCTCCATCTGGGATCAGAAATATCATACGACCACGAAGCCTGGCATTATTTGGCCCAATAGCTAGTTCCCTGAGAAATTTTTAAATCCCAAGAGAAATGTAAACACAAATGCTTTAAATACACCTGGAGAGACAAGGTGGGTGAGGTAATACCTTTTATTGGACCAACTTCTGTTGTGGGGACATGGTAATTGTGAGTGGTGTTGTCATTCTGGTGAAAGAATTATTTGAGGTGGAGACGGGTGGAAGAATTCTTCTAGTTCTCCACAAGTATGGTATCAGGTTCTGAGGTAGGGCAGAAGTTCAGTCCCTTAGAGCACAGATAATGCAGCTCCAGTGAGGGTTAGTCTTGATAAACTGATGCTGTTTGGGTGTCGTGCAGTGTCTACTTGGTGGATACTGGTGCCGTGGTGTTCGGTGGTCGTGGAGTACTTGTAGTTGGTTCCACTTTTTGTTGTTGTGTTGGGTGGCTTTCATCAGTTGTTTGTTTGTTTGTTTGTTTGTTTTTATAGTTGTTTTAGATTTCTTGCATGATTTCCAAGTAACTTTACAGACGCTCCCGGACTTACGCAAACGTTACGTTCCGGAACGCCTTGCATAACTCGAATTTTGCGTAAGTCGGAAACCTATCCCCAACCATTATGCGCCTCCTCTCTCCCCCCCCCCCCCCCCAAAAACCCCACAACCCTCCTATTTCTAGCTTACGGAACTTTTTCCATAAGTGCGGATTTGCGTAAGTCGGGTTTGCGTAACCGGGGGACGTCTGTACTGTTTTTTTTTTAAACTCCAGTATGTAGGAGCCTGTGATGATTTCTCATTTGAGGTGGTCCCTTCTGGGGCATGTGAAGTGCAGTAAATGGTGCCTCAGTTTCTCTGAAGTCTGTCTGCAGAGCTGTTCAGCATATTTGCAGTTGTATGTAGTGGTCACGCGGTTATAGAACATGAGACCTCTGGGGATGCTTTTTCTTCATGTTGTGGAGTTTCCATTTCAGATGGCTAAATTTGATACCTTCCATTGTTGTATGCAATGTAGTTGTAGTAATAATAAATATTTATTTACCTCACCCACCTTGTCTCTCTCAGATCCTTGGACTGACACGGCTACAACTACATTGTAGACAGAGGCCTATATGGCTCACGGGCTGATGACTGTGTGTCTGTAGTACTCTGTGCACAATGCAGTATTTTCAATCATTTCTCTCTCTTTCAGCTTAACATTCTCCATTCTGAGCTGGCAAAACAGCTTGCGGACACAATGGTTCTCCCGATCATACAATTTCGAGAAAAAGATCTTACAGGTAAGTTTTGGTTAGATTCCAAATTGCTATCAACTCATAACTTTTGGTGCCTGACACATTTTGTTGTAAGCTGTTGACTGTTTATCAATTTGTCATTAAGAAACTTGGTTTTGTATTAATTGCCAGAAAAATCTGATCTTTTCTTACTTGCTGCTAGACTGAGCATTTTTGGTCAGACATAAATTTGTAGAAGTCCAGCACACGTGCTACCTGTTTCAAAATACAAGGCCACATTCTCCACCGTGTGATCTGTTTTTATACCAATGTGACTTAATTGAATTCGGTGGTGTCATACTTGCATAAAACTGGAGGAATGCAGTGGTGCTCCAGGCTTGTGAACATCTGAAAGGAGAGGTAATATTAACCCTACTGTGAGAAAACTGGGTTTGAAAAACAGGGGCCGGATTTTTCTGACTACAAAGCATACCTGTTTTTCCCCTGTTTAGGCAGATCAACCTTTTTAACTCTGTGCCACCCATGGAAAGATCCAGATGGCACGATGGCACAAAATTGGAAATTCCTTGCTCACAAAACAAAATAGTGCAAATATTTGGAATAATTTTGAAAGCAGGTTGCTGTGCAAGTTCAGAGAGAGTCTAATCAGCACATGCAAGAGACGCATAAGATTTTATTGACTGTATCTCAACTTTAAATAATAATAAATAGTTCCCATGCTCAGCTCACCTCAGAAGGCATTTAGGTGCCTACATTTGTTTGAACTGGTTTTATTGGAAGAGAAAACAACTGCAGTATAATTGTGAAAGAAAACATGCTTTGGAGAAATTATGATTTTCAGCTTGTTTCATTTCCATACATCACTATAGAGCAGTTAAGACTATGATGACCTGAATGGACCTGTGACAAATGCATGTTGTTTATAATAGTTCTGTGGTAGGTGTCAAAACAAGAGGCACATAATGTCCAAATACCAAGATCTTTGTCCTGCAGATGCTTTCATATCTGCTTAACTTTGCTCACTTGATTTCAGTGAGACCACTCACATGCTTACAGTTAAACATGTACGTAAGTGTTTGCAGGGCTGGAGCTTAAGGAGTTACATTTTTCTATTCTACTCTTCTATGTATTCATCATAGTATCTGAGTGCCTTTCAGTAGTGCATTAGGCAACATGACTAATATCTGTCACATGTTTGTTCTCATCCTTTTCCCAGGGGGAAAAGTGTGTATGCACAGCAGTGTGTCTTGTTTTTAATTAACACATACAAACATATAGCATTGTGTGTGAGTCAGAGAAGGGAAGGTAAAAGAAAGGCACCTTGCACTTGGAGCAGAAGATGGTGAGGTTTGTGATGGTCCTTAGTTCCTGGGGGAGTTCATTCCATAGTCTTGGGCCAGCCCCTCAGAAAGCTCCTGTCTCTCTTCAGCTCTTTCCTTTTGTGTGTGTGTGTGTGTGTGTGTAATTTGCACCCAAAATTTCAAATGACCTCTGCCCTTGTTCATAGGAGGGGAGAGGGCAAGGAGATATATCTCATCCCCACTATCTAAAGCCCCGGAGGTGTCAAGAACCCAAACTTTCTCCCAGTTCTGTAGATGCCAAAGTCCCATCTATTACCTGTCAGGCTGCCAAAATCTCTTGCTTCCCGAGAGCAGTTATGCATTTTCAGTACAGAAATCTATAGCCCACTGAAAATTTGGTGTAGGATAAAATTAACTACTACTACTACTACTAATAATAGTACAAGCAGTTGTCTACTTACAGCCTTATTTTTCATATTGGATGCAATAAAAACCTTCATGTACTAGTTTATTTGAAGCTGCCTCAGAATTCCCACTTCTTGCACTAGAGGAACGCAGACACTGTTGGGGCATTGAGCTACAGCACAGTTTTGGTCTATGTGAGCACATGTTACCTTGGTGAAGAACACAAATCCTGCAATTTCTCTCTAAGCTTTTCACAATTTCCTCCTGGGTATTCTTACTGAAGAGATTAATGCAAGTTACGGTGCACAGGGAGGGGGCAGTGAGAGCAGCACCTTTGAAAAACAGCTTATTTACTTAGCTACCTTTCCTCACCCCAATCAGAACATTTTGCCGAATATCCTTAATATTGGCCCCAACCCAGCAGTCGCATCCACATTGATGTTACTGTGGCTTTGCAAAGGCACAAAGGTCTGCCCAGGTAGGTCTGATCCAGTTACAGGATCAGGGCCCTAATTCATATGCTGTGGCAGTCACTGGTGGGCACACAGCTTTCTATGTGTCATTTAAGCACTGGCAATATGTTGTTCAAAACAGCAGATTTTTTTAGGCAAAGGACAGCTTCTCTTTGGTAATGGACAAAGTAGCCTGCAGGTTCCTTGTATAAATTAACCTGTACATACGGGATCTTTTTCCATTGTCAGAGCTTGTACAGTAAAGCAGGTTTATCTAAATCTTACCTACCTGCGTGTACAGGTGCTTCCTTCCATGCTTCCTTTCCTGAGGTCCCAGCAGGGGCTTGGCAGTGGAGCATCATGTGACCAAGTGGTACATTGGAGGAAGAGAAGTATTTCTTGCAGTAAGGAGGGAAGTGGATCGGTAAAGTGAATAGTAATGTAAAGCACAGCAGAGCATGAGGGTGGAAATTATTTATATTGCAGATGACCCCCCCAAAGGCCCTGTTAGGATTGGGAACTCATTTGTGCTTACCTTGAGGTGTTTATAATTTAAGACAAGCCCCAAATGGATGAAACAAACTGGGGGCATAGGAGATGCCAGCGGCTCATTGCAAATATTTTGTAAGTGCTGCTCTTCATGTATTATTTTCAAGACATGAACATAAATTACACATTTCTGTTTGTAGGAGTAAAATGACGTAGGCAACTGTCCTTCAAGTACCTATAAAGGGATTTAGTTTTGTTGTGATTCTGCTTGAATGAGCAATGTATATAGCTCTCTTCATTCTGAAGTGTTGACTTTTTTTTATTTCAGAAGTAAGCACTTTAAAGGATCTTTTCGGCCTTGCTAGCAATGGTATGTTTTATACTTTTGTTTGTTTCTAATGGCATGCACTAATTATGTCACAGGAGACATGTTGTGTGTATACCCATGCCATGATGCTGAAAATGCTTCTTGTTTTTAGAACATGATCTCTCCATGGCAAAGTATAGCCGATTACCAAAAAGAAGAGAAAATGAAAAGGTAAATAAAAGTCTTTTATAGTTTGGTTCTTATTCATTTTTAACTACAGCATTGGCAAATGTACAGACTTCTGGGTTTTGTGGATTGAATCCACAGTAGCTCAAGACTCCCAGTGATTGCCTTTTGAGCCTAGCAACAAAGCTTTTAGGCCTCAGTTGATAGAGGTACTGAAGCATGTGCCTAACTTGAAGGAACTATTTATGTTTCAAGTAAGGCATGTTGTGCTGCTTCTCAGGGCACCCAGGACTGTGAGTCAGCCTCTGTGTCACACATGCGTGCTTAAGTGTTTTGTTGAATTTGAGGCCATAAAGCAGCAAGGAGAACTGTAAGGATGACTTCTTCATGACAGAAGAAATCCAAAATGACCACAAAGATTTTTATAGGCCTCCTGCTGTAAAATCCATCTGTCTACCAACCTGCTAAAGGGAGGATGCTGTACTAGAGCAGTGGTCTCCAAAGTGGGGTGCACAAGAGGATCCTTGGGGGTGCGCAGCAGGAGGAGCTTTTTTTTGTGTGTGCTTCGTCCGGCGGGAGTCCGAGCGGTCTTTTTTTTTTTTTTGCTTCGGCAAAAATGGTAGAGCCGGCACGGCGGGGTGTGTGTGCTCAAAATAACTTTACTGATAGGGGTGAGCGATCAAAAAAGTTTGGAGACCACTGTACTAGAGGATTATTGATGCAGAGTGTTTGTACCTGAAGTGATGTAATAATGCCATTAATAATCTGCTGTGCTTGAAGGACTACATTCTCCTCTTCAGTGTGCCTGGCAGGTCTTTGGATATTGATTCTCATTCCACCTACAGCAAATGAATGTGATGTCAATGGGACTGATCCTGCATTTTTTGCACACCCAAGCCTCCCACTCAGTACAAAGTGTGCAAAGAACGTAAGATTGGGCCAATAGGGGGGCTTTACACTTTTAGAAAGATCAGAAGATGATTTAAGGGATCTGCATTGCGGATCAGAATGCAGTGTTTAGCTCCTGTATCGGACGTATGTGCTTGGAGATGCAGCAGATTGTGACTTGTGCCCAGAATTACTAGTTCTATGAATTACACACACATAGGACCAGGTTCTGATCTCTGCTACAATGAAATTACTCCAGACTTATGCTGATGTAACCAAAGTCATAACCTGATGCTTACAATTTAAAATATGTAGTAGTTGTGCTATTTATAGCCCAGAGAGCTGCTCATATGCTTGAAGAGAGATGAGGTGAAACTTCTGTTGGTGAGAGAGAGAGACACGCTTTCGAGCCACGCAGAGCTCTTCTTCAGGTCCTCGGAAGTTTCTCTCTCTCACTAACAGAAGTCAGTCCAATAAAATATATTACCACAACCCCCTTGTCTCCCTAAAACCCTGGGACCGACACAGCTATAACTACACTGCATACATCAAGTAAAGTTAGAGAGGCAGTTAAATATGTTGCCAGGTAGAGCCTATATTAATTGTTTTTTTACTTCTAATGCTTGTTTTTATCTTGTCATGGAGATATTGTTTCCCATAATGAAAAATAAATATTTAATGATGACATTAAAATAATCAGTAAATGATCTGGATATATCCATAACATGATTGTGCATTGCATGACTGTCAGTTTTAAATTCTGCCCAAATTTGTATTCAGCTAAAGACAGAAGTAGTAAAGGAGGTGGCAAATGCAAGGAGGAAGCAGCATCTTTCATCATTACAGTATTACTGTGCCCTGAATGCTCTGCAGTACAGGAAGAGAATTGCAATGATGGAACCTATGCTAGGATACACCCAAGGACAGGTATGTACAGTAAAGCCAGGATAGTGGAAATGTCACTTAAAGGAACATGTCTCTGGGATATGAAAGACATTTTGGCATAGAAGGAGTTGTGGCAGCTGACACATGAAAATAGGGAAAACCTTATTCAAAATGTTTTCTGTTAAAATGTTGTGCTGCCATTTTTATTCTTTCTGTGTGAACCTGTATATTTCCTCTCTCTATTCAAACAGTGTGCATATTGAACCAAATTTTGCAAGGCCTTACTCAAGTTGTACTTTATTTATGGTCAGATAGTTGGACTTTTAGTTATTCATAAAGATACTACTTTAAAAAACACACACAAAAGCAAAATCAGCACATAGTAGGCTGAATGGTATGGACACTAAACTGTCATCACAACAAAATTTGTCACTGTTCACTTTGTGCTTTTATAAGCTCACCTGTGTGACAGTTTACTTCCCAGCATGAGATAGTCAGCATGCTGATGAGGAGTCTTGTGTGAACAGGAACTGGAGCATGTGTTGGAGAATAGGAGAGAGAGTGTAGTCACTTGGAAATCCTATATCCTAATCCTTGCTCAGCCAGTGATTTGCTGTGTGGCTTTGGCCAAGTCTCTTCCTTGGTTTCCAAGTCCATAATATGTGGCAGTAATACTAAAAACCTACTGCCCAGGAGTGTTGGGAGGATTAATTGATTAATATTTGTACAGCACTTTGAGTACTCTATTTTAAGTTCCATTTACACTGCCAGAATGATGTAAAGGGTCCTTAATGTAAATGAGAACTAGGACCTGAAACTACTGAGTGTAAATAATAAGTCTATGCCAGAGGTTCCCAACCTGTGGGGCATGCCCCTGGGGTGAGGCATGGCTGGGGCCTGGGCCAGCCCCCACGGGGGGCGGGGAGGAAGTGCCACCCATCTCCACTCCTGGCCCCGGCTGCTGGCCTTGGCCCGTGGCTGAGGCTCCATCCCTGCCCCCAGCTATGGCTCCAGCCTCGGCCCCCTTACCCGTGTCCTCATCCCTCCCTCCCTCCTGGAGCCACATGCCTGCTCCTGGCCATGGCTCTGGAGGGGGTGGGGGTGCGGACAGGAGTAAGGGGAGGTCGCGAGGTAAAAAGTTCGGGGATCACTGGTCTATGCAGTATTATCTAGTGAGGGGGAAACCACATAAAAGTCAAGTAGTTCAGGGCCTTCTCTGCAAATTATCCGCACTGCTTTAGTCTGCAAAACTGCTGGAAATCTCATGAGAACAGGCCTTTGCATGAGATTTCTGTTGCTTCATACTTCCACTTGGGATAAAAATAGAGTGGGTCTGTTTCTTAACTCTCCTGTACTTTGCATAATCATCTCCACCTGTGCAAAAGTTGTGTAACATAAGAATTCTCTGTCCACTTACACCAGTAGAGGGAGTTTACTCCCTCTTGGCACAGGTGTCAATCGCAGCAGGGGAAGACTGCACTGATTTTCCCCCAGCTAAAATCAAATGATGCTCCCTCCTCCTGTCTAGAGTGAGTAGTGCTTTCTCACAGTTCTCCCCTCCCGGGCTGGTGCAGCAAGCGCTTCCCTTCCTGTTTCAATCTACTTTAACCACTGAGGCCTCTCTGCAGAGTAACACAAGGCATTCCCATTTATCTGCTTGTATGGAAACAAAGTGCCAAGCTGGAATCGTGGACTTTGGATGCCCTATACGGTAATGCCTTGTTACTGTGAGAATGCAAAGTGTCAGGCCAGCCCGAAGCCAACTCCTATTCATACATAAGAAGCTGTAAAGTGCCTATCTGTCTTTGTACTGTAAGTTGTCCATATTAATCTATCAGCTAAAATGTGCGCACCTTGTGTTTCATGTTTCCAAAGAGAGGATGAGTATGAGGCTTAGCATATTGGAAATAATTTGGTGGGAGGAGCAACTGTTAGTGTCTATATGCTGTAGCTGCTTCTTCCTGTGCATGGAGATGGGAGTAAGATAAGATATGGGATCTAATATGAACCAATAGTTAATGCACGAATAGTGTTTGATTCTTTAATAATGAATTAACACTTGGTTTTATAGGTTTCCATCTAACTCAAGAGCCACTAACTAAAATAGCCTCACTGAACTCTTCTTGGGAAGGGTAGTCAGTCAGAATGAGTAGGGTTTGTTTTCCTCGCCCCCTATCCATTTCTTCCATAGCAGTCATCTGGTTATGCAGATTAAGAGCACAGATGCTAGGGAGGATCATCTCAGGCCAGGTCAACACTAGGAGTACTTTGGTGGTGTAGCTATATGGGTATCCTATACCAGCAAAGCACTCCTAGTATGGACACAGCTTATACCAGCAAAACTGCTAGCCCCGCTCCCCTCCCCCTGCTATACTGGTAAAAGCACAGGTTTATTGGTATAACTACAGGTACAGTAGGGGCTTTTGCTGCCACAGCTATGTTGGCCATGGATACACGTCTTTACACCCCTGACTGACATAGCTGTGCCAGCAGATGTCTCTAATGTAGACCTGGCCTAATAAGCATAATTAAGGAGAAAATCCTGGCCCCAGCTTACGTAGCAGTATGGGGCACAGTAGTGCGTACTGCCACATAACTAGGTTCTGCACAATGCTGACCAATCTGGAGGATGGAAGAGGGGTGACATGGTTCTTTAGGCCAGTTAATAGTGTTAATATTAGTAATTTGACTGTCAGTGTGGTCACTACCCTTCATGTTTGGGGGGAAGAGGTGGGACAGGAGAGGTTGGTGTTTCAATAATGTCTTAGATTTGAATGGCAGTCTGTGACATGAGTCACCACAGGATCATGCTTGGCACCTTCCCCACCATCCATTTTTTGATTGACAAACCTTTCTTAGATAATTTCCAGAATACCCTTATTATATTTTTCAGATTAACTTTTTTAAGAAGGGAGCAGAGATGTTTTCCAAAAGAATGGACAGCTTTTTATCATCAGTTTCAAACATGGTTCAAAGGTAACACAACACCTAGGTTTCAGTTTGGTTTTCTGTATTTATTTGTGTTAAATTCAAGCAAGATTACTAACGTCCTTCCATGCCTGGATGGGGCTTGCCCCACACAGGGCCCAGTCCTGCAGTCCTTACTCAGGAGAGGAGTTCCACCAGACGGCTGCAGGGTTGGGCTCAGACTAACAGAGATTATTGATTTTTTTTTTATTTCATTTGCACTTCACTGTGTGAAAGAACAGATGGGTAGGGAGGGGTGTGTGTGTGTGTGTGTATATATATATAAAAGGAATGTACTATCTGCATTGCAGAGAATACGTGCATAGCAGAGCCAGAGATTTTTTTTTTCCAATGGCAATTGAGGATCTTTGGAATAAAGCCCAAATACTGTACATTAAATAAGACCATACCCCCAATTTTTTAAATCTGGGTACCTTTAAAGGACATCCAAAACCCCATCTTTGGACACACAAATCAGCATTTAGGAGCATAAAGAGGGTAAATAAACACCTAATTCCCTTCATGAGCACAGAAATTCGGGAGTTGAGCACCTGTGTTTGAAAAGCTTGTGCTGTATGTGATGTCACTGAAAAACTTTTAAATGGGGAAAAGTGTAGTCTAAGCCAAAAAAAAACCCCTAACCATTTTAATAGCATTGTTTTATATAATCTGATTGTTTGATTTCTGTTTTCTAATAGTTTAGGGCCTGATGTAAAGCCTATTTAGTATTAATGAATATTAATATTATGGTAGTGCCCAAACTCAGGATTGGGGCCCCATTATGCTGAGTACTGAACAAACATAGAAGAAAGACAATCCTTGCCCTAGCTAGCTTAGAATCTACATTGAAATTGATGGGTGTCTTTTTGTTGAGTTCAGTGTGCTTTGGATCAGGCCCTTACTGAATATTTTCCCAGTTTTGTCCTTATGCATTTGGCAAACATTTGTTTTTCCTTGCATTTCTAATGGAGATGGAAATTGGTTTCCTTATCATTAATGCTCATTAGACGAGAACTTGACAGTGAAATCCAAATTTATAGACAGTCCTGAAAACATTTTAAATCTTACATTCTAACTGGGACAGATTAGATAAAGCACTAAACAGACTTTTAGGTGGGACACTAAATTGTAAAAAGCAAATAAGGGTTCCAGTTTTTTAACAAAGGCATATCCAAATCCCTGCCTCTTCTGGGCTTGGTGGCCTTCTAAATATAAATTCATGTGAGAGCAAAGGTCATAAATAACCTGGAATATGTACTAGAAAGGAGTTGCCATACCAGAATTGATCAATGGTTCATGTACTCTGGTATCTTGAATGTGATAGTGACTAATGTCAGCTGGTTCAAAGGAAGGGATAAAACCCCCTCCAATGCACTTGCCCAACTGTTTTATACTATACCAAGATTGGAAAATTTGTTCCTGATCCCAGCTGGCAATCAATCCTCATGCTTCAGGACATAAGTTTGATAGTCATAATTTTATCCACAGTCACGTAACTGCAGCTGCCATTCTTGTTCATAGAAGTGTCTAATTATTTTTCAGTTTCGCTAAGCCATTCTCTTTAATAAAATCCCACAACAGTGAGTTCCCTTTACAGTTTGCACAAAAGTATTTTCTTTTTCAGCTTCAATTTTGCTGCCTTCTAACTTCCAACGAGTGCCCGTCTTGTTTCTGGACTGTTTGAAAAGGCATGTAAAAGCATGTGACTGGCTTTCACTAAACTGTTCCTTATTTTATATACCTTTTTCCGACTTTGACTTACTTTTATCCTTTCCACATTAAACAATCCTTACAAAGATCCCTCCCTATGGTTCAAATCATTCATGTGGGCTAAAGTTCATTTTTTAAACTCCCCAGAAATAGCATGTACCTTCTATTTATGAGATGCCAGAATGTTTCGTCTATATACAGTAGATTTGTCTATACAGAGCACTTTTCACACTCTAGTTAAGACCATAGAAACATGTTATAGAGTAAGCCCGGGTTTCCCAAAGTCCAGTGGACAGTGGCGTAGCCAGGTTCTAAGAGCAGGGGGAGCGAACACATAAAAAAAGGCGCCACCCGCTGCGAAGCAGCAAAGGAAAGAAAAAAAGAAAAACCCAAGTCTTGCCGCCAGAGACTGAAGAACCCGCCGCACCGAATTACCCACCGCCGAATTGCCGCCGAAGACCCGGAGCGACAGCTGGAGCCGCAAGGTAGCAGGTGCCCCACAGCAGGCACAGGGAGGAGCGTCACCCGGCCGCCACAAAGCGAGGGCGGGGGGAGCAGGAGAAGCACTGGCCGCAGGAGCCACCACAAGATGCACGCAGCGGAGCCTGAAGTGAGTGCCGCCGAAGACCCGGACGTGCTGGGAAGCGCCGAGTGAGCAGCCGCTCTCCTGATCCTCCCCCAGCTACGCTACTGCCAGTGGACACTCCTGTGAGGAAGCACAAAGGACTAGCTGGAGGCAGATGGGACTCTCACTTGTGCTCCAGAGTCTCAGCTTTCTTTTAAAAACAAAAAGTCTGTAGCTGTTGTGATTGTGAATAGAAGCTTGAAAAAACAACCCAAGCGTAACCAGTGCAGTGGTGTCTGCGTGAGTTTGCAGCAAGACTGAAACAATATCTTGAAGAGGCATGAATAGCACTATTCATCTCAATGAGTTACCAAAATGCAGATGATGACACTTTTAAATAGCAACACTGTTAACTATTTCAGTGATCAAAGCCTATAAAAAAAGAAAGGAATCATCATACATCCTCCAAGTTGATCCATATTTTTTGGTGCCACAAGTGGATGGGCTTAGGAGATGCAAGCCTTTCCTTCCCAACCCACCCTGCAATTAGGGAGGAGACAAGCCCCAGGAGCCTGGCAGAGCCCCACTGAAAGGAAGCCCAGCCTGAGGCCCCACATAAACTCCATATATGAGAGAGGTTTTGTTAGAGGAAAAATATCAGTGTTAAATATCACTACTGTTAAAAAAAAAAAATCACTAAGTAACACTGTTCTAAACATAGAAAGTAATGTTCTATTTCATGTTTAAATATAATTTAAATAATGTACTCAAGCATCTCATATCCAATATTGACTGTCGTTCCTTACACTAAAAAGCTGACACATTTTAAAATACAATCTGACTTAGTTAAAATTCAAATCTATTGATCAGCCTTTAACCTCACATCATGGGATTGAAGGGAACACAGTTGGTTTTATTTTTCCGGGAGTGGGGCTTTTCAAAGTTGGGGAGTCCTGGAAATGAGCCATTGCAGAGCAGAGCTATAACGCTATGTAAGAATGAATATGCCTTTAGTCAGTCAGATCCTGCCTAACCTGGACTAAAATGCAATGTTCTTCATCCAGGTTACTATCACTGCTCTGACCCTCAAAAGAACAGCAGCAACTACAGGAGCTATAACGTTTAGTCTCCCAAGCAGCAGATCAAGGGTAGGGTTGTGGTCTCAGTAATGGAAGAACTGGCCCCAAATGCAGTTGAAGCAGCTTGCTGTCTGGCTCAGGTAGGCAGTCGCTAGCTCTCTGGGTGCCATATTTCCTATGGGCTGTAGGGTTACTTGGAGTATTTGTTATGTCTTGGAGGCACTAAAGGCGCTCCTGCTGCCTCACACATTCAGAGGTTTCACACACAAGCTGTGAAGGAATCCCAGCCAGCAGAAGTCCAAACACTGCAATAAGCATAAATTATATGTGCAGGTCCAGATGATTCTCTTTTTGTAAGCTAAGTGACAGAACTATTTGATACCTCCGCCTCTTGCCTCTCCTTGCCATCTATTGGGTGCAGTCAGTAACTCCTGGAGGGCTTGGAAAAGTGAGTAGAAAAATCCGATGTTTTGTGCTGTTACAGTTTTTCTGAAAGGAGGGGAATGTCTTCTAGCATGTTGTCCTTGCGAGGCACCTTTCCAGATACAGAAGGCTGACTATTCGGTCTAATATCTTCAGCCTATGTTTTGAAAACCGCTTTCCATTGCTGAAAAAAGGAAGAACTTTTTCTTCATTCCATCTAGCCACAGTCTTGCTCTAGGGGGAGTGAAATGTCACAAGTCTTGGGACCCTCCTCTGTAATTCCGGGTTCATAATTCTATGAGCTGTAGAACTTGCTCTCACCCCTTTACTTGTTAGGACAATCAGAGTAACAGCTGCATCGGTCAGGTATAGCTATACCTCCTTTTTCCATGTGATGGCCTCCGCAGCTCAGAAGTCGGGTTGGTGTTTACAGATTCCCATGTCCCCAGCAACAGCTACCAAAACATCAGAAGGCCACAAAGGATTGAAAGTCCCATTTTAGCAACCAACCCTATTATAAGGGATCCTCTTTGTTCATTTTTCTTAGAAGACAGGCTTAAATAGGTACCGTTTTGACCCTGAATGTTATTAATAGTGCTCCATAATATACCTTGGTCTTAATATTAAACTGCTTTCTTCTTTCCTATTCTGAAAACAGTGACCTTCCTTGTTCATTATTTTAGAACGACACCGTGGTTAGAACATCATCCCCAGCTGCTGCTTTGATCCTCTGAGGATTAGCCTGTACTAGGGGAATTCTCAGCGGAATGGGGCTGGCAGACCCCAGCATCAGGAATCAGAGGGTGCAGGAAGGTGGTGTAAAGTCACCTATGTTCCCCTTCTCCCCAGGTGAGCCGAACGCTGTTGCGGTGCACCTGGGGATCGCGCCCATCGTGTCTCACTTTTAGCTAACCACTATTTTTATAACTGGGGAAGAATATCATCAAACTTACCCTGTTGGTCTTTAAGGGTTTTTCAAAATGGCCGGCACCACACAGAAGGGCATACAGACCCACAATCGCTTCCTCACTGAGCCTAGAATGGCTCTTTGGGCAGGAGGGATGCCTGGCCAAATATGAGCTTCTAATGGAGGCATTGCAGAAGCAGGACTTAAAGTCTAATAGTATGTCTGATTGGTCCATCAGGTCACGGAAATCAGTTAAAATGTTGCCTTCTGATTTGCTTAAGCATTAGGACTAAAAAGACAGTATAGAGGTAGTCTGCTAGCGTTCGATGACACAGACCTCTTAGCTCTCTTTTCACATTAGTACAGGCAGCATCAATGAATGTGAATTTACTCCAAAGCTGAAAATGCATAATAGTGAGAGACTGGATCCATGTTTGTACAGCACTGTAGTGTGTCTGTTGCTGCATCCGTGTATTTTTATTTTTCCAGGTTGAATTCTGTACTTTGAGACCCTTTTGTAGTTACCATTCACCACAATGGGAGTTACGCAGGGATGTGAAGACAGATTTGGGTTCTGCTTGTTCAATTCTAACCATGTCTGCTTTCTAAATCATGTCTAGGTGGAAGATTTTATTATTTTAAACTTGTTACAAAAGTGAAAGACTTGACTTCACTGCAATGGAAGGGACACTGTCAAGAGGAAAATAGAAATAAAAAAAAAAATCTTACTGGTGTTTCCAATAACGGTGTTACAATAGAAAGAATTTTTAAAGTCTAACATACTTCTCAAGATTTATGCTACCAAATTCCCTTTTCCCATTTCTTTAATATTGAACAATGAATCTAGAATGCTCAGACTTTTGTTTAGTCTGTTTCACTTTCTGGTTTTCATGCACTATCCAGTACGGCGGGGTTAGGGTTTCCAGTAATGCAGGGGAATGTTTGAGCCCACTCTGCCCCTCCTGTTTACAGTAATTTTTTTAAAAAAAAAGTCTATTTGTAAGAGGTTTTGTGAGCCCCTACTAAAAAAGGGAACCTGAGTTTTAGCCCCAAATCACTTGTGTTTCCTTAAGTAGCAATTCCTTGTATTGTTCCTCCAAGACCTTTGTAGATCAGACAGTTGTGGCAGCTTCAGATTGGGTCAGATTTTGCAAACCATACTCTCATGGAATAACACTCAGGTGAGTAAATCATGGAAGTCAACTCAGTGTGAATAAGGGTGAAAAATCTGGCCCTTTGAGTCCAGGCCCGTGTGACTGATGGGAGGACTCTGCTGCCCTTCTGTATGCTGACAGCTGCCACCAGAGCATTTCTGAAAGTGGGTAGCACGCTGTTGAAAGGCTCTGATCAACTAATCAGTGGTTCAGTGACAGGAACTCCAGTTAATCACGCAGTTCTCAGAAATAACCAAACCAGTTCTACGAAAGCCAAGACACATTTATTATAAAGCCCAGCAGGAACATTACTAGGAACATACCGATTTAGTATTAATGACTGCATCTGTTTGCTCAGCTTCAATCACAACGCATATGCACAATGCTGTTTGGCTGCTTGAAGCTTTGTTTGTGTCTCAGAAAAACAAAGCAACCCAGCCTGATTTTCACGGTTCATGTTTAGCATTTCACATTCCTCAGAGTCTCTTCACCTCAGCTTCACTCCACTATCCTGCCCTGTCCCCCTCAGCCCCTTCCCTTTTCTTTCCATGTAGCTTATCCCCTTCTAACTAAACTGCTCACTCACACCCCCCCTCCCCAAAATAAGGGAACTAACATGCTGTTTGCCGCTATCACATTGCTTGTTCTGCTTGTGGATTCCACCCCTTCCCCCACCCTGTGCCTGTCATCTCTATTTAGATTATAACTTCTCTGGGGCCCGGACCGTGTACTACGCTGTGTTTGTGCAGTGCCTACCACAATGGGGCCCCTTTCTTGGCTGTTCCTGTGACAAACAGAAAATAATCCTGCCATCATATCATGCTTTTTGGTCATTTTCATATCTCCTCTCTCCGTATCACTCTCCTTTATAATGTTCAGGGAAGAAAACTGCCATCCTTGGTGCAAACAGTACTCATTCCAAGAAAAAACACAGTACTGTTTGAAATATGTTCACAGTAAATGCTGTTTTCGTAGAAATACAGTAAATGTGTTTGCACAGCATGCCTACAGGAAACTAGCTGCCAAGCACACACGTTCTTAAACACCAGAATTTCAGGACAAACACCAAGTGAAGAACCTGGCGATACTGTCGCTACCAAATTAAAAACACAGCCTTACTTGTGTTACACAAGTTTTCAATGTCTCCTTTGCAGGTACATCTTGTTTCTGTAATCCCAGATTAATTTACTGGGAGCAATTCCTTAATCTTCATCTCTCTCTCCATTCCTTCCTTCCTTCCTGTATTCATTGACCAAGTGCTCATAGAGATCCTTTCATGTGTATTCTTATAACTATTTTTCCTATTTAAATCCATGTAAAAATCACTTTCTCTTTCCACTACTCCAAACCAGCAGGGAACCGTGTGTAAACACCTTTTGTGCATTTAATCCAGCTGTGCCACAGTAGCATACAATATGTTGTGTGTCCCTGGGTTAACTGACTGACAGTAAAACGGGTTTGATTTTTTCCAGCATACAGGGAGAGTTGGATGCTGAAGCTGACGCCATGAGAGTATCCCAGCAGGACTTGCTTTCAGTTAATGAGTCTGTTTACACCCCCGATTCTGATGTCACCTCACCAGCAATCAACAGAAACCTTATTCAGAAGGCTGGCTACCTTAATCTTAGAAAGTAAGAAAGATAGTCCACCTTGTTTGTCTGTGTGACTGGTGGTTGATTTCTGCATTATTTCTACCATGAAGATTCTTTGAGTAAAATTTTCAAAAGTGCCTAAGTGATTTCAGGGCCAAATCTCATTGAAAATCAGTGGGATTAATACTACTAAATCATTTAGGCACTTTTGAAAATTTTACCTTTCAGTTCCTAAATCACCTTAGAAAATGGGATTTAAGAGCCTAAGACATTTTAGGGGCTTTTGAAAGTCTTCCTCTTTGTGACTAATTGGTTTCCCCGCTACCTGAATTCACCTACAAGGCCTGAATTCGTGCATTTGAATGTCTAAAAATAAAATGTCATGTGGGATTGAGGTCTGCAGCTCATTGGAGCCTCTGAGACTGGGATCAGGATGTTCTCTCTTTTATGGGCTAATGAAAATGCAATACTGCTTACAAGGAGGAGCTAGATTTTGGATTTTAGGGCTTTCACCACAAATTTCCCTTTACACCATCAGGAGTGGTACAGAGAACCAGGTCCATAGCGTTGAACATGTACCCCACTAGAACTCAATTCTGCAGAGTTTCTTTTACTAACCCTCCCATTGACTTCAGCAGGAGTTAGGGATATGGAAGAGGAGCAGAGGTGGATGGGGTCTGATTATTGTGTTTTTGAAATAACTTAAATGTCAGTTTCCATTTAATTTGAACAGTTTTTGCTAGTTAACTGGATTACAAATGTTACGGTTTAACAGCAGTGTAAGAGATGGGTTACAGCATCGTGTAAATGACTCCATAGAAGAATGTACTTTCAATATAAGAGTCTCCTTGTAGAAGTGTAACTTTTCAAAATTTATGCCCATTTGTGTTTGAAATTTCTGCTGCTCCTATCACTGAGAAGTACAGTAGAACCTCAGAGTTATGAACTGACCGGTCAACCACACACCTCATTTGGAACTGGAAGTTTGCAATCAGGCAGCAGCAGGAACAAAACAAAAAAAAGGCCAGTACAGTACTGTTAAATGAAAAAATTAAAAAAAAAATTTGACAAGGTAGGGAAAATGTTTCTGTACTTGTTTCATTTAAATTACGATGGTTAAAAGCAGTATTTTACTTCTGCAGAGTAAAGTTTCAAAGGTATGAAGTCAATATACAGTTGTAAACTTTTGAAAGAGCAACCATAACGTTTTGTTCAGAGTTATAAACAACCTCCAGTCCCAAAGTGTTCATAACTCTGAGGTTCTACTGTATCTCTTTTGTTTTTTATTGAGTACAATAAAATTCCATGCAGCCTCATCTCAGTTGTTGGCCCTAAACCTTCTGCTGTTTGCAGCTAGGAAATATTGCAAATGATTGTTCGTTTTAAACTTGGATCACTCAAAACCAATTGCTCCGTAACCCTTCAGCTTGCCCTGGGGATGAGTCTCCATTGTGGTTGGATGTCTTTGACATGTTTGTTGAAATTTAGTTTACAAGTTAAAGATCCATGTTTGACAATAAGGATCAGCCCTGCATCTGCAGCAGGACCTGCTCAGAGTTTGGTGGGGGTGGTTTCTGATCCAGGAATTGAATTGGGGTTATTTCTAACTAGAAATACTGTGCTAACTGGTCTTAATACTGTGTGTTTCCTATAGTAAAACAGGCCTGGTGACTACAACCTGGGACCGACTCTATTTCTTCACTCAAGGGGGAAACCTGATGTGCCAGCCCAGGGGAGCAGTAGCTGGAGGACTGATTCAGGACCTGGATAACTGCTCTGTAATGGCAGTGGACTGTGAAGACAGACGATATTGCTTTCAGATCACCACTCCTACAGGAAAATCGTATGGGTCACAAGTTTTCTGTTAGAGAGCAACCAATCATGTCCGGTGTACCAGATGGGGTTTCAGAATGCCTAATGGTTGTGGTAACACAGTTCCCTAGTGACAGCCATTTGAACTGAGCTGGATTGCCATCATAACGCTGACCTACAGGAAATAGAATATTTTAGCACATTTAAATCAAGTGCGCATGTTGCATAAATGATGAATGTTGTCCTTTAGCAATAGGGTATTCACACAGCTGGCTGCTCACAGAGAGGCACAATTTAGTAGCCGGAGGGTAGGACTTAGGAGTCAGGTACTCCAGAATAATGCCAGCTCTGACATTCACTGCCTCTGTAGATTTATGATAGCTCAGTTCTCTATGTGAATAATACCGACTTGCCTACCTCAGAGTGCTGTGAAAGCTTCATTAGCTGAAGTACTCGTGAGTACCATCATCACAAGTGCAGAGCCAGGTATCCAGTATAACCCTATGGATTAAGGCTGTAACAGAGTCATGATTTTTTTGGTGCGAAAGTTGCAGCCGTGGCTTGTTAAAGCTGTGGTTTTGGTGTGGTCAGTTCAAGTACCACACAAAAATAGAAACAGGTACACCACCATGTAAGCTGCAGCACCTTCTGCCAAGGTACGCAGCCTGCCTTCCCGAGCAGGGCAGCAGCACAGAAGGGACACCGTGTGTCCTGCCTGGCTCTCAAAGCCAGCATGATGGAAGAGCAGCTGGACCAGGTTTGAATGGCATTGCAACCCTGCACAGCAGCTCGCAAAGCTGAGTGAGTGGTATTGCAACCTGGCGCAACACCACTCAAATTCACGGCAGCTATAGAAAGTTGTGGTGTGTGTTTAAAAGTTGCGGTTTCCCCAGCGAAATCACAGCTTAGTGATTTTCTTACAGCCTTATCTGTGATATAGAATCGCAGTAGTTAAAGATGAATTTGCGAGATTATTGAGTCTCCCCCCCTTGAAACTGTCTCTGTGTGCAGGGAGAGTGAGTGCATGTGATATAACTATGATACAAGAAAAACATGAATCTAATGTATTTGTGTTTTAGGGGGATAACCCTTCAAGCAGAAAGTAAAAAAGAATACGAGGAGGTAAAATATTTCACTGGTTAACGTTTTTACTTTCTTATCCCTTAAATAGTTTGGAGTGTTCAGTTTCTTTTCTCCTCACAGTGGATATGTGCAATCAACAACATCTCCAGGCAGATCTATCTCACCGACAATCCAGAGGTGAGAGCTTGTTTGTTTTCTTCTGTTCTTTCCAACTTGCTTTGTTGGTGTAGCACAGGGACCCATAGCATTGCTGTAAGGGTGAAATGTCATTTTGTTTTGTAGGCTGTTGCAATCAAGTTAAATCAGACGGCCCTTCAGGCAGTGACCCCCATCACAAGCTTCGGAAAAAAACATGAAAGTTTGCGTCCCAGGTAACACTTGCTTTTCTGTATGAGTGATTTGTGCTGTTGTGCAGTCAGTCAGACTCTGCTTACGGGGCAAGAGAAATGTGGGAAGCCCTGACCCTGCAACTCTGTCCATCCCAGCAGATCCCTGTGCCTGTGCAGAATCCCAGTGAAGGCAATGGGATCCCATATGAGTTCAGGGCTCTGCTGCATATAGTCCAGCTTGAAGGATCAAGGCCCCAGCCACTTCCAATTTTAACATACAGGTGGGGTTTCTCCTATTCATTTGTCATGAAACAGACACAATACTTAGATTGGAAACTCTTCGGGACAGGGACAATTTTATTATATGCTTGTATAGTGCCTAGCACAATGGGGTCCTGATTGCTAATTGGGGGCTCTTGAGTGCTGTCACCATACAAATTTGATGTAGACTGCCTTGCCCTATTCCTGTGTGTACTCTGAAACCAGCACAAGGAACCGTCTTGCAGTTTTCGCTGGGTCTGATCCTGGACCCATTCAAGTCCGATGTTAAAGCCTCTATCCCCAAATAGAGGTTGTTAATGAAGCTGCATGCACCTGGATGTAAAAAACAAACAAACGTACGTTTTCCATTGAATTTTTCTTGAGAAATCCAGCCTCTTGACCAGCAAGAACTCCTCAGTCTCTGTGACTGGGGTCCAAAGCCAGCTCCAGAGACTGACTGTATTCATGCTCTGAATGCATGACCCTAAAAGCAGAGCACTAAATAAAGTAGAGCAAATTAGAGTAGAGTGTCTCTATCAAACATTAGTAGGTAAAAACCTCTGTATGAGTTTTGTATACAATCCTGCTGTGATTTTTTTCCAGCTTATGTATTTCTTACTGGCTTGTGCATATTTGATCTCTAACCCTTCAAAGGTTTCACCTTTTTTCACTCCATACTGACCTCCAGCTAAAAACTAGTCCTTCCCAGTTTACTGTGATTCCTTAGGGACCTCATAGGCTCCCACAAGCCATAGGAAGTGCCAGTCAAATGAGAAAGAGAAGGTGGATGAGAATATCTGTGGCTCAAAAGCTTGTCTCTCTCACCAACAGAAGTTGGTCCAATAAAAGCTATTACCTCACTCACCTTGTCTCTCTCATAGCCTGGGACCGACACAGCTACAACTACGCTGCATACTTGCTTTCCCATTTCACTCAGGAGGTGGGAATTTTACTTTGGTCAGAATTTTACGATGCCCTGGATGATTTAATAATGAATAACTAGGGGAAATACCTGCATTGAATTTTGTTACATGGAGGAAAAATGTTAGTTGGGTTGCAGAGAGTTAGCTCTGCGTTATTCTGTGTACAAACAGAAAATCAAGATTCTGCTATCAAAATAAATAGGCTTAAATATCGGTAGATTTCTGCAGTTGCAGGAAATTCAAAAGCAGTTCCACACCCTGAGGAACTCTGGGAGGAAGAACAGGGACGAATGTTACATAAAACACACAGTTTACTCCTGAGTATTGTACCAAATCTGTGACATCTGGGAACTTTGGTGGTTGTCACTATGTCCATTCCCTTGCCATTCAGGACTTCACAGATAGGCAGCTCAGATCCTCTCTGCTCAATAAACACAGGTCTCTAATACTTGAGCAGATACACTGGCGCAGTTCTGATTATAACCAATAGAAGGCAGTGGTGCGCACATCATTCACCATGGTAACGTAACCAAGAGCAGGCATTGCAGCTCATTTGGAATTTGTTCCCCTTCTTTTCGGATGTAGCAACATTTCTTTTCACTAGTAAGTCATTTTATTTATGACGATGAAGAGGAAGAGAAATTCAGTTAGTAGCCTCAGTGATGTGTTAATATTGCAGTTTGCTTATTGGGGGCAATGAACACTGGGATTTGGTGTAAACCTGTCTTCCTTCCATCGTTATGACATTACATTTTCATTCAAAACCTTTCTCCATTTTCAATGTAGCCAGAATGTGAAGAATATGGAGATGGAGAGTGACAAGATCATCCCTAAAGAACTATCCACCAAACCCGATTGCACAGAGTTAATAGCACCTGGAACGCCGATTCAGTTTGACATGGTACTTCCTGCAACTGAATTCCTGGATCAGAACAGAGGTGGCAGGTACAGCCAGCTAAAGTTCAACAAATTTGACCAAACGGTTTGAGAGGAAAGGGCTATTCCCTTTACAGCGTTTGTGTATGACCATTCAAACTGATAATGAGAACTTTCATAAAATCAATCTGCTGCTCTGAGCACATATGTGATTAGATTTTCTTAAAAATATTTTTCAGGCGCACAAACCCATTTGGAGAATCTGAAGACAGCAAGAACGATGAAGAAGGTAAACACTTTTTTGGCTCATTATAATGAAGTAATAGTCACAAGCATATGTATAGGAGTATTAACGGCTTTATAGATGGTTTTTCAGCCCAGTGCTGGGTGCCCAACCAGCAGCCGCTGTTCTCATGACCCTCCCCCCCAACAGTAGCCTTGCAACCCCCTTTTGGGTTGGGACCCCCAGTTTGAGAAACGCTGACCTAATATAAGGGGCCTCTGATCCCGACTGAGCCTTATGGGTAGGGCTCTACCCAAATAATGGCCGTGAAAAACGCATCACAAACCATGAAATCTAGCTATTGGAGGGGGGGGGAAGGGGTAGGTCTGGGATGCCCCAGCTGGGGGCTCCTACCATGCACCAGGCTCCAGCTGCTAGTCCCGACAGGGCTGGGGAGGAATGGAACTTCCTCTTCCCTTGTATAGCTACTATTGGGGGGGCGGGGGAGAATCAGACCCACCTCCGCCGACTGCAGCAAGCTCCGTGGCTGCTGCCTTCAGAGCCCAGGTCTGAAGGTATTACAGAAGCAAGGGTAGCAATCCCGTGACCCCCTTACAACAGCTTTGTGACTCCTCCTAGTGACGCCCACTGCCCCCAGTTACAACATGGTGACATTTCAGATGTCAACATCTGAAACGATGAAACTGAGTAATTTTACAATCCTACGACTGAAATTAACCAAAATGGACCATGCATTTGGTAGGGCCCTACAGTTCTGGGTTCTGCTGTATAATACAAATAATAAATAAGAGCTTGTGATGGAGATGGGCACTTAGCTTAGTATGCAATAAGCAAGGAATTTTAAACAGAAATTTTATCACATGAGATTAGAACCGGAGGCTTTATGCAAAATTATTGTACAGTTTTTAAGAGTGATAAATAAAGAGTCAGTCCAATTACTTAATAATCAGCCATCCCAGAGCTGGAGCAGCAGTGAGAGAAAGACCAAGGGTGGTATTACAAGTCAAAAAGAAAAAAACTTCAATAAAAAATTAATCAGGTACAAAATTTAATATACATTTGTCTGCTGTAATTCTTATTTGTTACACTTGCACGCAGTCCAAGCATTTGGTAAAGCTGGGTCAGACTAAAACCTGGCTAACAGGGAATATGATTGAAGAGGAAATGATGTGAAAGGCACAGTTATCCCAAGCTAGGACCCAGTAATTAACCATAGTTTTTCAGAACAGTTCTGGTAGGAATTAGATATTTGATAACTCTGAACACAGGCATGAATCAGTGTAGTACAGGAGCCCACTGCTTTGTATTCCAGATTCGCTCTTGCAGCAGATGTTTGTAGTTCGGTTTTTAGGATCTATGGCTGTTCAATCAGATGATACAAATGAGGTGATTTATGAAGCTATGAGGCAAGTGTTGGCTGCTCGTGCCATCCATAACATCTTCCGTACAACTGAATCCCATCTAATGGTCACCACCAAGAGTCTCAGGTAGAGTAAAATTCTTAACACACTCAGCCCTACCATTCTGTTTTCCATTTAAAGTATCTACAGGCGACAGGGTGTTTTTAAATACACCACCTTTGTTTCCCCAAAGGGTAGGGGATTTGCACATATGGATCTCTACAGACAAAACAACAAAAGTTTGAACAGGGAAAGCCCCATTGTTACAGGCATAATTTTTTTAATTATAAAGCCAATTGTGTCACTACAGTGGAGGCGGTTATAGCATCCACGCTGTAACCATTGCCTTTTGTAACAGACCAATGACTGGGCCCCCCACTCAGATCTCTTTAGAGTGAGACTAAGTTCTAGCAATAAACAAATCCAAAAGTTGCTCTGGTATCATCTAAAAGTTTGAAATTGGGGGTTTCTCCTTACCTGGGTGGGCCCCAGCTCCTGGGACTTGCTGTTGTAGAGGACTCCAACTCACATTAAAGTGGGTCCTTTCTTGTCTCTCACAAGTTAGAAATCATCCCATCCAAACTTTCAGGATGCAGCAGGGCTGCATGTTACTTCAAGAACAGTAGCAGAGAGGTCTAGAAAGATCGCCTCTGTGCAGACACTCCTACTTCACTTCGAGTTTGAAACACAATACTGCAAAATAGATCACTTGTCCAGTTTGTATTGCTTTTAAATAAGTGTCAAAGCTGCCTCCCCATCAAAACTTTCAGATAGGCGAGCCAATGCACAAGTCAGGTCTCTCTCTCTCTCACACACACACACTCACAGACACAGACACCCTCCCTCCCTTTATTCTGGGTGTTTATTAATTTGATAATGTACAAGTACAAACCTGTGTAGTACTAGTTCATGGCACATAGGCTATTCCAAGTTTCCTATGCCATCAGAAAGGCAGCATGGCAAAGGGCACTGGGCTGGAAGTCAGGGGAGCTGAATTCCATTCCTGGCTTTGCCACTGACCTACTGCAAGACTTTAGGCAAATCAGTTCAAGTGCGTACCTCAGTTTCCCCGTGTGTTAAATAGGTATAATGACCCTCTTTCTTTTGTAAAAGGTTTAAGCCAGTAGCTCTCAAACTTTTTTACTGCTGACCCCTTTTACATAGCAAGCCTCTGAATATGACCCCCCCCCTTAAATATATAAAATATTTTAAATTTATAACACCATTATAAATGCTGGAGGCAAAGCAGGATTTGGGGTGGAGGTTGACAGCTTGCGACCCCGAGGGGTCCCAACCCCCCAGTTTGAGAACCCCTGGTTTAAGCTATTTGGCCAATGTCATTACAGAGGTGCTCAGTATTCTTACTTAAAACTTTTTATAATTGCAGGTTAATAGATCCTCAAACCCAAGTTACACGAACAACTGTAAGTAATTCTTCATCTTGATAGTAAAGTTTAAATAATTGCAACATCTCTTTGATTGTTTCCCTCTGCACTGATAACATTTAATCCCAGAGATGATTAGTCTCCCAACCTAGTTGAGCTTTTGCTAGTTTTAAAGTTCTCTAATATGCTTTTTCAGTTTGAACTTGCCAGTGTGACGCAGTTTGCTGCCCATCAGGATAACAAGAGACTGCTTGGTTTTGTGGTCCGTGTCACTGAGTCTCTGGGGGAAGAATCCATGAGTGCGAATATTTTTGAGAGCAACACAGAAGGCGAAAAGGTCTTGTGATTGGTTTATATTGTATTTTTATACAGTTTTTTAAAAAAATGAATCCTAGTGTCAGTCTGCCTTTCGGAAGCCTCCTATAGGGGGAATGTTATAGAAACAGAGTCAGGTGGCTTCCTTTATGCTTAATCTAATGATTGAGGGACATGTGATGGCATAAGCACATAGAAAGGAACTTATGTGAATGCTGATCCTACTATCTAAGGTCTTAGGAGTCAGTGTCCAGCAGCAATGCTGGCACCTGTATTGTGACGGCTACCTTTAAGTTGTTGTATGCAGTATAGTTGTAGCTGTGTAAGTCCCAGGCTATTAGAGAGAGAAGTTGCATGAGGTAATCTCTTTTATTGGACCAATATGTATAGGTGAGACACAAGCTTTTGAGCTACACGGAGCTCTTCTTCCGGTCTGGGAAAGGTACATCCAGTGTCACAGCTAAATGCAAGGTGGAACAGATTGTTTAGCATATTCTAAGGGACCAATCAAGCCCTGAAAAGCACTGTGTGGCTTGAAAACTTGTCTCTCTCACTAACTGGCTTTGGTCCAATAGAAGATCTTTCCTCACCCATATTTTCTCTCTAACTACCTTTAAGAAAACATGAATTGTGGGATAGTTGAAATAGACTGACAGGGGAGTGGGAGTGTTAACTCATTTCCTAATCTCCCAGACTTCACAACGTCTTATAGAGAAGACAATGCAGAATGTGTCTCTGGTTTGATATTAATGGATACAGCTGCACATGAGATAACAGAAGGCTGTGCAGAAAACTAGTAGTAAAGATGGGAGAGACCAAGCCCACCATTTTGTTTTGCATTCTTAAGACCACTACTGATGTGGAAGAACTTTTTTCATTAGTAACTAAGGCCCTGATCCACCTAAGTTAGGCACCTGCCTCCCAGTTGATGTGGGTGTTTCTCTCACTCTCCTGTTGAAGTTGTTCAACAGTGTATGAATAATTAGTCATGGAAGCAGGAAGACTTGAGCTTAGTCTCCCACCTCCCAGGTATGTAGCCTAACCACTGAACTACAGCATCATTCTCTCCTGCCCAATGACTAAGTATTTATCCAAAATGGAACAGCTTCAACAGGAGAAATTGAGGGAGCCCACATCAGAATAACCCACAACTCAGTAGTTAGAGTTCTGGTGAGAGATGGGAGATCCTCTTCAACCAAATCCTCTCCCCATCTGCCTGAGGGGGCAGATTGAACCTGGGTCTCCCTCATCTTATGCGAGTGCTCTAACCATTGGGCTAGAAGTTGTGAGGTGGATACCACCACATCCTCCAGCTGTTTTGTGCAGAGTGAGGCACAGGAAACAAGTTAGCTGCCTCATTCCACGTGCCAGAGCTAGGCACCTCCCTACAGCCTGGAATTAGGCGTCTATCTCCATGAGGGAGCGGTTCTTAGGATACACCCCTCTTAAGTGGCTCCCCGCCTAGCGTGCTGGTTTTTTGTGGCTCTCCCCATTATTGGTACAGGGAGTCTAGGTGCCTGACTCAGGCTTTG